ATAAACAATCTAACAGTGCACCTAAAGGAACTAGAAAAAGAAGAAAAAACAAAGCCCAAAACCAGTAGAAGGAAGGAAATTACAAAAACTAGTGCGGAAATAAGTGAAATAGAGACTAAAAAAAATTGATAAAAAAAAAATCAATGAAACTAAACTATCTTTGAAAAGATAAATGAAATTGACAAAACTTTAACTAGACTCACCAAGAAAAAAAGAGAGAGGGTTCAAATAAATAAAATCAGAAACAAAAGAGGAGAAAGAAGAATGGACACCTCAGAAATACAAAAGATTATAAGAGAATACTATGAAAAGCTACATGCCAACAAATTGGATAATCTAGAAGAAATGGATAAATTCTTAGGATCATGCAACCTTTCAAAACTGAATCAAGAAGAAATAGATAATTTGAATAGACCAATCACCAGTAAGGAGATTGAAAAGTAATCAAAACCCTCCCCAAAAATAAAAGTCCAGGACCAGAAGGCTTCCCTGGTGAATGCTACCAAACGTTCAAAGAAGACTTAATACCTATCCATCTCAAACTCTTCCAAAAAATGAAGAGGAGGGGAAGTTTCCTAACTCGTGCTATGAGGCCACCATCAGTCTGATACCAAAACCAGACAAGGACAACACAAAAAAAGAAAATTACAGGCCAATATCACTGATTAATATCAATGCAAAAATCCTCAACAAAGTACTAGCAAATTGAATACAATGATATGTTAAAAAGATCATACACCATAATCAAGTGGGATTTATTCCATGGATGCAGGGATGGTTCAACATTCACAGATCAATCAATGTGATGCACCACATTAACAAATGAAAAACAAAAGTCACATGATCATCTCAATAGATGCAGAGAAAGCATTTGACAAGACACAGCATCCATTTATGATAAAAACTCTGAATAAAATGGGTACAGAAAGAAAGTACCTCAACATAATCAAGGCCATATATGACAAACCCACAGCTAATATCCTGCTCAATGGAGAAAAACTGAAAGCTATCCCTTAAAGAACAGGAACCAGACAAGTATGCCCACTGTCACCACTCTTATTTAACATAGTATTGGAAGAGCAATGAGGCAAGAAAAAGAAATAAAAGGTATCTAAATTGGAAAGGAAGAAGTGAAACTGTCACTATTTGCAGATGACATGATTTTATATATATAAAACCCTAAAGAATCCACAAAAAAACTTTTAAAAGTAATAAATGAATACAGTAAAGTTACAGGATACAGAATCAACATACAAAAATCAGTTGCATTTCTATGTACTAACAATGAAGTAGCAGAAAGAGAAATTAAGAATACAATCCCATTTACAATTGCAACAAAAAGAATAAGATACCTAGCAATAAAATTAACCAAAGAGGTGAAAGACCTATATACTTAAAACTACAAAACACTGTTGAAAGAAATTGAAGAAGACAGAAAGAAATGGAAAGATGTTCCATGCTCTTGGATTGGAAGAATTAACATAGTTAAAATGACCATGCTTCCTAAAACAATCTATAGAGTCAATGCAATCCCTATCAAAGTTCCAACGACATTATTCACAGAAATAGAACAAAGAATCCTAAAATTTATGGAACAACAAAAGACTCCAAATGGCCAAAGGAATCCTGAGAAAAAGAATAAGGCTGGAAGTATCATACTCCCTGATTTCAAAATATACTCCTGTTACGAGAGGTTTGGGGGATTTGATCAGAGACGTAAAAGAAACTTTCTACTCCAAACAAATGGACTGAAGGTATATTTTATTATATAGAGGATAGTAAAGGTGATAGTCCGCAAACAGATCCGAATAGGTCAAATATTAAGAGAGAAAAACATCAGCTCGACTGGAAAGGGAAAACATCCACATCGGCTGAAGGGAAATGACACAAATCAACCGGAAAGAGAAACACCAGGTTGACCAAAAAGAGAACACCTCAGGTCGGTTACTCACAACATCCACACCCCACTGCCGGGGAGAGTCCCTTCGATTGACACGGCTGGGCAGAAATCCGATCATCAGAGGTCCTGGGCCGGGTGTCCCCTCCACAGGTGAGACTCTCACCAGGCCTCGGTTTCCAGCAGTTTATGTAAGCAGTTACAGAGTTTTCTCAGAGCAAGCATTCAATGTTTCCATGCACAAATGGTTATCAGTGGCATACGTGCACTGAGCCTCCTAGCTATCGTCCCGGCCTGGCACAGACGGCCAGTCTGCCCCAGGCCATGACACCCAAAGGACCTTGAAATTCTTACAAATTGCAACTATCTCCATGGGAGAAAGGCCAGTTCCCAGGAAAAAGGTCAGTTCCCACCACACAGAAAGCAGCTTTATATTTCTTTGTGTGCTGGTGGCTGTAGGTTAATGGAATGGCCAAACATGGCTACACTCATGTCAAGACAACTACAAATCTATAGTAATCAAAATAGCATGGAACTGGCACAAAAACAGACATACAGATCAATGGAACAGAATCGAGAGCCCAGAAATAAACTCACACATCTACAGACAGCTAATTTTTGACAAGGGGGCAAAGAACATACAATGGAGGAATGAAAGTCTCTTCAATAAATGGTGTTGGGAAAACTGGACAGCCACATGCAAAAGAATGAAAGTAGACCATTATCTTACACTATACATAAAAATTAACTCAAAATGGATTAAAGACTTGAGTGTAAGACCTGAAACAATAAAACTTCTAGAAGAAAACATAGGCAGTATGCTCTTTGACATTGGTCTTAACAGCATATTTTCAAATACCATGTCTGATCGGGCAAGGGAAACAAAAGAAAAAATAGACAAATGGGACTACATAAAAATGAAAAGCTTCTGCACAGCAAAAGAAACCATCAACTAAACAAAAGAACAACCTAACAACTGAGAGAAGATTATTTGCAAACTATGTATGTGATACAGGGTTAATAACCAAAATACACAAAGAACTCAACAAGAAAAAAACGAACAACCCAGGTAAAAAAAAGGCAAAAGATCTGAACAGAAATTTTTCCAAAGAAGATATACAGATGACCAACAGGCACATGAAAAGATGTGCAATATCACTAATTATTAGGGAAATGCAAATCAAAACTACAATGAGATATCACCTCACTCCCGTCAGAATGGCTATAGTTAACAAGACAGAAAATAACAAGTGTTGGAGAGGATGTAGAGAAAAGGGACCTCTCATACACTGCTGGTGGGAGTGCAAACTGGTGCAGCCACTATGGAAAACAGTACAGAGATTCCTCAAAAAATTAAGAATAGAACTACCATGCAATCCAGCTATTTCACTGCTGGGTATTTATCCAAAGAACGTGAAACATGAATGTGTAAAGATATATGCACCCCTATGTTGATTGTGGCATTATTCACAATAGCCAAGACTTGGAAACAACCTAAGTGCCCATCGAGAGAGTAGTGGATAAAGAATATGTAATAAATATACACAAAGGAATACTACTCAGACATAAAAAGATGAAATCTTGCCATTTGCTACAACATGGATGGACCTTGAGGGTATTGTCCTAAGTGAAATAAGTCAGAGGGAGAAAGTCAAATACTGTATGATCTCAGTCATAAACAGAACATAAAAACAACAACAACAACAAACAAACACATAGATATAAAAATTAGATTGGTGGTTACCAGAGGGGAAAGGGAGAGGGAGAAGGGCAAAAAGGATGACAGGGCACATGGGTACGGTGATGGATTGTAATTAGTCTTTGGGTGGTGAATATGATGTATTCTACACAGAAATCGAAATATAATGACATACACTTGAAATTTATATAATGGTGTAAACCAATGTTACCTCAGTTAAAAAAAAAAGTCTGTAAACAGGGCCAACTAGAACAAGGATAAAGGTGTAATTGGAGCTCATATCAGCCAGCACAGTGTGATGTTTGGTGTTATGTGATTGCACAGTGCCTTGTTTTTGTCTGTGCTTAGAAAAAGTGGTGTAGTGGTCTTGTTTTGTCTCACTTTGTCATGTTCTCAGAGTGTCCTTGTCAGATGTGGATGTTCTGTGAGGTGACTTCTGTCCAACAGGAGAATAACATGCCAAGTGGTGAGCACCGGGCCAGCTTTTGACAACACGGAGTCCTAGCTGTAAGTGTCAGACCGCTTGTCAATACTGGGGCTTCTTTTTCTTCTTTCTAAACTCAATATTTTAAAATAACTACAACTCACTCAAAAAATAATTAAAGAATACTAGAACACAGTTTGGAAAAGAAGAAATGACAAAGTCAAACAAGTATATCAGTAATAAATAAACGTAAAAAAAATGAAGACATGGAGTAAGAAATGGGAATAAAAATGAAAAACTATCACTTGGCAAAGATGAAAGTAAGTGACAAGAGTATTTACCAGAGGGTAGGGAAAATATACTGTAATAAAGATTGATGGGATTGAAAGCTGGTACGAAATCTCTAAAAGGCACTTTTGAAAAATGTTTCAACAATTTAAATGTGCTTACATTTTGATGCAGAAATTTCTCTTTTAGGAATTTATCCTAAGAAGATAATCATACTTGTTTTCAAAAATATGCGTTCAGGGCCGGTCCTGTGGCTTAGCGGTTAAGTGCGTGCGCTCTGCTACTGGCGGCCCGCTTCGGATCTCGGGCGCGCTCCGACGCACTGCTTCTCTGGCTATGCTGAGGCCGCGTCCCACATACAGCAACTAGAAGGATGTGCAGCTATGACATACAACTATCTACTGGGGCTTTGGTAGGGGGAGAAGGAGGAGGATTGGCAATATATGTTAGCTCAGAGCCAGTCTTCCTCAGCAAAAAGAGGAGGATTAGCATGGATGTTAGCTCAGGGCTGATCTTCCTCACCAAAAAAAAAAAAAAATATATGCGTTCAAGGATCTTTCTTGAATTGTGTTTTATAAAAGCAAAAGAATGGAACTTATCTAAATGCTATAATAATTATTATGATGGTGGCTATGAGTAGAGAAATACTTAATATGTCTCAGAAATTAATACCATGTGATTTACGTAAAGGGTTAAATTAAATCTTCAAAGCAAATCTGTGAGGGTCCCAAATCCAACTCACAGAGGTTTAGGAGGTGGTGCAGCCAGGGTTGAATTCAGGGAATTTTCTCTCACAGCTTTGTTGACTCATATTTCATTGGTTCCCTGTCCAATGTGGGTGGAAGGATGACTCTGCACCCCATGCAAATGAACTGTTTCATTATTCCAGAATGTTCTATGACAGGAGGCCACTAGGATCAGAGCTCAGGAGGACATCAAGCGGCAGTCTGACTTAACTCCCCAAACCACAGTGAAGTCCGTCATTCGGAGTATATTTTGATGCCTCCTGTGGATCAGGATCAGCTAGAGTCTGGAAACACAGTGAAGAGCAAGAATAAGACCCTGGTGATGTGGAGCTTGCATTGTTCTGAGGGAGATGGACATTTAGCAGAAATGACAAAGATAAATGAAATCACTACTGAGCCAATTGCTGTGAGGAAAAAGTTCATGATACCAGGAAAGCAGATAACCTGGAGACCTAATAAATCCCCTACCACTATGATCAATAATACCTAATAGATGTAAAAGATATATGGCATATGAAACAAAAAACAGAATTATATACAATTATTAACAATCACAGAACGAGAAAAAGCCCTTGGAAATTAAAAATATGATCATACAAATGAATAATTCAGTAGATGAACTGGAAGGTTAAAGTCATGCTCCCACTAAGTAGTACAGATGGAAAGTCATGGCAAGCAGGAGAGAAGACCTATAAGAATATTAGTCTATCAATCAGGGGATTCCAACACATTAATAATACCAGTTTCAGAAAGAGTGGAGAGTAGGAAATGATAAAAAACAATTACAAGAAAATTTCTCACACTTTACAGATAAAGTTGACATTCTGAATGGCCTAACCAAGTTCTTACTCCAGTAGATGAAAACAAACCCACAACACGAAAATCACAATGGAACTTCAGAAAGAGAGTGGAAAAGAAGAGACCTTGAAAACTTCAAGAGGCAACAAACACAGACCTGGAGGCTAGAAGACCTTGCAGCAACGCCTTCCAAATTCTGAGGAAAAAAATATTCCAACATGGAGTTCTATTCCAAGTCAAGATGTGAGTAAGGGCTGGGGCAGCCTAAAGACATTTCAGATGTTTAGAGTTTGAATATTTTACTTTCCATGTTCCCTTCCTCAGGATACTACCGAGCAAAGAGGGGAACAATGATGGAGAAAACCGAAAAGGGGGAAAAATGGGATCCAAGCAACAGAGGAACCAGAATAAGAGACAGGCAAGGGGATCCCAGGATGAGGTGAAGGAGATCCAGGATGTCAGCCCTGGGTGTGCAGGGAAACAATCCCCGCGTGTCAGGACTGAGGGCTGTGGGACAGGTGTCTTCACGAAGATGAAGTTGGTAGAATAACTGATGTGCTCAAATATGTTCAGGAACATTTAGACTCTGGGCAGAGTAGTGGAATGATTTAGTAACGAATACAACAGAAACTAAGCAAATGAAGATGCAAGATATTTATTAACTCCAGGGAACATACAAAGGTGACTCAAGAAAGGAAAATAATCATATCTACTAAATGCTCAGTTGTGACTAATGTTTACACGGTCATAATAATGCAGACACTGCATATTGAACTAGTCAAAATTATAAAGTAATTATATTGGGAGGATGGGGGTGTGTGAAAGAAGAGCCAGTTCACTAAAGATGATGCATAAAACTGAATATCAAGGAGTATTAGAAGTATTCTATGTAGAGACATAGAAGCAGCAATTAGAGAACCAGCTAAAAGAACTAAAACAAGTTGTCTCTGAGATTCAGGAAATGGGAGGGGGCACCTGTCTTCATAACAAGCCTTGTAGAAGTATTGGACTTTTTAAACTATGTGCAAATGAGTATTTGTTAGAAATAAAAAGACGGGTAGGTAAGAGAATGGATTCAAGAATTGTCCTATAAGGAGCGTCATAGAAATGGAGCAGTAGTTGGACAGAGACATGGGATTGTGTAGTGGATTTTTATGAGAGGATTTTGTTTTGATTTATTTAGTTTCTTTTTTTTAAAAAATGGGAGATATTATAGCATGTTTGTACACAGGAATGAATGAGCCAGTAGAGGGCAGGAAGTTGATGAGGCAGGGGTAGGAGGGGACCTGATCCTGTGCTCAAGCTGAGAGGTGGCCTTAGACAGGACCCGGACCATCCATCATCACTGCTGTGAAGGCAGAAGATACAGGTATAGATGTGGGGTGTGGGGGATGATGGTGCAGTTCTTACCTGAATCCTTCTTTTCTCTGAGTGACAAAAGATATAAGCTTGTCATCTAAGAATGGGGAGTGGGGAGGGAATGGAGGGGTGAGAAGGGAGGAGAAAGTGAGAAACAGCCCCCTATGGAGGAGTGAGAGTGAACTGCCTCAGGAAATGGCATCTGGAGAGAGCAGGGCTGGGGGCCACTGAGCTTTGTGCTCATCAACTTAGAGAAAGAGTTCCAGCACTGGGGCAGCAGCGGGAAGATATATAACAGACTAGGAGAAAATGCCACAAAACATCTGCAAGTATGAGGATTACAGTTATTTTAACTTTGTCATTTATAGCTGTTAACATTTTATAATTTTCTACAGTGAATATACATTATAACATACATATTGTACATTATACATATACATCATAATCAGAATGAAAAAATTCTGCTTAAATTTTAAAAGGGAGGCAGATGGGTAGGAAAGTCCAGAGCTCGGGGCACAGAGCTGGAAGTGCTGGGCTCCATGTCTGGGCAATGAACTCACAGAGCCTTTTTTCCATTTCTTGGGATGCTATTCTCTGTGGAGGCCAAGCAGGATCTTTCCCTTCTTTTGGGGTTGTGGTCATTTATTAGTATCTTTTCAGCTTTGATGCTTTTGAGAAGATGGTTTTTGTAGTTTACATGACATTTTTAGCTATTTTCAGTGGGAGGATTGGTCCATACAATCTAGCCAACCTTTTTCAGAACTGGAAATTCTAAGGCAAAAGAATTCAGTGAAAAGATGATTGGTCCTCCAGTAGAGGATCAGAATCTGAGTCTTAACACGTGATCTGAGCATGATCTGTTGTGTTTTACAAGTGTAAGGGATTTTAATGTAATTTATTTTTGAAAACATTATTCATGGACACACAAGATAATATAAACAATATTCAAGAATATATAAAAATGTCACATCGTCCTTCCCCCATCCCCCATTCACCCAAGTCCTCTACCCAGAAACTATCACAGTTAGCAATTTCTCATTTCTCTTCTTAAAAAAATATATCTATGCATTAATATATACTGTTTTGTCTGTAAAAGAGCTCAGGCCACAGAGAGGAGAAAATATTTGTAAATCACAAATCTGATAATGGGCTTGTTTTAGAACATATATAGAATGCTTAAAACTCAACAATAAGAAACCAAATAACTCCGGGCCTGCCTGGTGTCACAGTGGTTAAGTGCACGCACTCTGCTGCGGTGGCCAGGGGTTCGGATCCTGGGCGCACACCGACGCACTGCTTGTCAAGCCATGCTGTGGCTGTGTCCCATATAAAGTAGAGGAAGATGGGCACAGATGTTAGCCCAGGGCCAGTCTTCCTCAGCAAAAAGAGGAGGATAGGCAACGGATGTTAGCTCAGGGCTGATCTTCCTCACACACACAAAAAAATAAAACAAATAACTCAATTAAAAAATGAGCAAAAATGATGAGTGTTATGGATAATCCCCCTAGAAAATATGTGCAAATAAAAAGAAATATAAAAATTAATATAAAATGTCAGTGTATACATGGATCCTCTGAAGTCTTAAGGACCTGGGTGTTTTAATCCTAGCAAGAGACAAAGGTAGGGAGAAGACACTTTGAGTAACCACTTCACCATCTCACTCCACTTATCTGAGAGTATAAACTGGAGTAGACAAAAGCTGGACCCCAAAACAAACTATCAGGGGAATAAGTTGAAAAATGTCATTTATTAGTCACTCATTTATCCAACCAAACCTGAGTGCCTTCAATGTACCAGATCAAGTTGTGGTCTCAGATCACTGCTCCAAGAGTTGAAGTTTGTTATTCTTTTTCCATGCCTCATTCACCTATCCCTAGCATCTGAACTTGCTTCTTACATTAGGAAAATCTCAAGATTAAAGAGTCTTGGTAGGAGGCAGAGACCACCTCCTTCCATAAAAGAGGAACACTTGCTTTCTTCAGCACTGCTTCAGTTGGACACAGCATGACGCTTTGGGTCCACCAGTCAGGTGACCTTATCTGGACTCTGACGCAGGACATGGTGACACAGAGAAGGTAGAACTATGTAGAATGCATTTGGCAAGTGTGGCACGAGTGGCAGTAACAACGGCCAGTTGCCAGGAGCAGCAGTGATAGTAGCCCCAGCCTCAGGGTCCAGTGTCCAACATCAGGGTGTCAGTGATGTCAACAGTGACATCTGTGCCCAGCAGCAGGGGCAGTGGTTCCCATGTGGGACCTGACCTAGGGTGAGATTGTGGATTCTGTTCCTGGCTGCGTAGCCTCAAGTCTGGTTCTAGGGATTTCCCCCAAACAAAATGAGCCTCTGACACGACATATATAAATTCTTTTATGTTTAAATTAGAAACATTTGGATTCCATTGTTTCCTCCAAGAAGTAAGTGAGAAATTAATCTGGGGAATAGTTTCAGAGAGCAAATGCTCAGAGATTTTTAATTATGCTGAATTGAGAGCAACTTCCTAAATCTTTCGCCTGGCTGTACCCCATGATAGAGAAAACAACAGGTATCTCCTACCATCATGTCTCATAATTGATGATGTATGAAATCCCTTTTTTTCCCCAGGAAAAAACGATATTTAAATATGGCTTTAAGGCCCCTCCCCATCCTGGTTGCTTTCTGATCACTGACTTGTGGTTCCAAATCTTGCCGAGACCAGGATGGCTTTTGAGCTTATTACAAAATACTCAGGCCTCTCCCCAAAACTGCTGTCAGAATGTTGGGCATGGAGTCCAGGTATCACTTATTTGACAAGCTATAGGTGAGGCTGATGCCCAGCCATGTGGGAATCCTGGTCTGTGTTCTTGCTACTGAATGTGTGATCTGAAGACCAGTATCATCATCACCTTGTTATGAATCCAGAATCTCATGCTCTACTCCAGATTTTCTGAACCTTAACGAGACGTCTAGGGGATTCCTGTGCACAGGTAAGTTTGAGACTCCCTGGTCTCTGAGCCTTCTAGATGTGGTGTCAGAACTGTGCACATACCCAAGCATACTGTCCCGGGTATGTGGTCTGATCAGATCCCTTAGCACTGGGGGGTCCAGGGTTCAGTCCTTGTTCCATTCTGTTCTATAGTCATCATTACCTTGGTGACCTCATCCGTTCTCAAGGCTTCAAATATCATTTTTATGGCATCATTTCTCAAGTCTATTTCTCCAGCCCAGACATTTCCCCTAAATGTCTCCAGATTCATCTGTCCAACTGCCAACCTGACACTTCACTTGTATTTCTAGTAGACTTCTCCTCTTTAACATCTCTTAAACTGAATGCCTGTGATCCCCTCTTTTCAAATATGCTCCTTCCAGAGTCTTCCCTATCTTTGCTGACTGCAACTCAATCTTTCTACTTGCATAATCCAAAATTTTTTGTATCCTTGACTCTTCTTTCTCATACTATAGATTTAAACCACTAGGAAATGCTGCAAAGTCCCTCTTCAAAATGTATCTGGAATCAAATCACTTCCCACTATTTTCACCACTAATACCTCAGTCAAAACAACCACCATCTCTAGTCTGGAAGACTGCAATAATGTCCTATGCTTTTCCCTATTGCCTTGTTTGTCCCTTGTCTCTTAATTCCATTCTCAGCACAGCAGCTCGATGGGTACTTTTAAAAGGGAAGTCCTACCTTGTCTGTCTTTGCTCAGAACTGTTTCACTCAAAGTCAAAACTCTCCAATATCCTCCAGCCTACATGGTCTCCCCATTCATCTGACCCCAGTCAGTTATGCTCTGCTCCAGCCATACGGGCCTCCTGACTGTTTCAAGAACACACAGACACACTCCTGCCCCTGTGCATCTGCACTGGAGGTTCCCCTGCCTGGAAACAGCTTGCCCCAGACATCCTCATGGATAATTCCTCACGTCCTTCACATCTCTCCTCAAAGGTCACCTTCTCAATGAGACCCATGCTGACCATGCTAGTAGAATAGCCATCTCCCGTTTCCAGACACACCCACACTCAGGATCGCCTTCTCCATAGCACTTACCACTTTCGAATATAAACATTTCCCTTATTTACTAAGCTTACAGTATATAGTGTGCCCCTTCCCTCTAGAACAAATGATTCACAAGGCCAGCAGTTTTCACCAGTTTTTAGTTCACTGATGTATTCTAGATGCAAAAATAGTGTGTCATGTAGCCAGTACTCAAAAAATATTGGTTGCATGAATCATCATTGTAGAGCACCTCCCTATTCTAGAGATAGTATCTTTATTAATGTAGCCTCAGATCAAGCATTATTTTATGGCAGCAACAGCACAACATTCACTCACATTGCCATCAATGCCACCTGTACTTTGCTCCTCTCTCCCCTCCCTCCCCTCCTGCACACCACAGCACACTGTTATATTTCTCTTTTCAGAAAACAATGATCCTTGACTTATGGGCCCTATTTTCCAACTAAATATAAATCTAAATTAGACTCTGCTTTATAAATCCATGAGTTTGGATTGGAGCCAGCACTTGGATTACTAGAGCTAAGGGCATGGAAAATGGGTAGGAGAGAAGAGAAGCTAGAAATCTAACAGGAATTTATCCAAGATGATAAACTATCAAATCTCTCCCCTCTGTTAATAGTGGAATCTGGTTCCTTAAAAAGGTTGGTGAAAAGAAGGAAAGAACATTCAGGAAACATAACTACAAGGAAGGCAAGAGCTGGACAGTCTGCACGTTCATCCATCAATACCACAGGGTCTCCTGTGTGCAGAGGCCACCTGAGCCGTGTGGGGACAATGACAGGCAAAATGATTCCTGCTACTGTCAGAGACGGGGACATCCAGAGGAGAATGAGACCAGAACTTGCACACAAGGACACGAATAGGCACAACTTCCTACGGAAACAAACAAACAGCAAATAAAAACACAAAAGACGGAGGCTGAGGGCCAGACCCAGGCCTGAGCCTAGGCTGACCAGGCCACATGAAGTCCCCGCTGCCCACAGTCTTGGAGACACTACGGGACCCACGTGATACCCAAGTCCCTGTGATCACAGGTCCTGGTGGGCCAAGATCCTATTGAAGGGACAAGGACAAAGGAACAGAGAGATGACCCAGCAGAGGAGTGACCATGTCAAAGCCCATGATGCACTGAGCACCGACTGGGCACAGGTCCCATCCACACTCGGCTACTCAGAGCCTTCTCCTGTCCCCGCCTGCAACAGACTTAGCACAGCAAACATGCAGATTCTGGAAGGTTCTCAGGTTTTATTTCCTCTCTCAAGT